TATTAATTATAAACTGTATTGATGCATGCAACTTTACAAAATGCAAACACTGAAGACCAATGAAGTTATTTTTCCAAAGTGTCCCAATATTATCATTACTTCATTAAACAGCAAACACCAAGGACCAGGTACTATTCTAAGTGCTGGCACACAGCAGTGAACAAAGCAGACAAACCCGACCCTCTTGGAACTGACATGTGTTGATCACATACCCAAAGGAATGGCCTAGTGCGTTCATGTTAAGAAGGCATTAATAAGTTTTGAAGTCACCTAAAATTCTTGTGAAACCACAGAGAGTTACAACCATCCTTGGTTCCATCTATGAAGTTAACAAGGAACATTCAGTGGTCAGGTCCTGACAGTCATCTCTCCTTATCCTTACCAGCCCCATGGTATTCCATGACACACAGCATAGGAACAGAATCAGACAGGTGTTAGCAGGTGTTTTCTGAGATGGTGGAGATCTCAATACAGTTCTGCATAGGAGGACTGAGGAGAGATGGGGTTCTTGTGTGTCATAAGGGGACCACCTTCTACCAGAAAATAAAAGTTATCCCATCTATGACAGAGATATTACTGAAAATACCATTTTTCTGTTAACAGGGGCCAGCTCCAAGTTCCATCTTTAAAGCAAAGGTGATGTCAGACCTATTAACTCCCAGTTATTCATCATTTATCTCAGAGGGGATTAGCTTAATCAAGAAGAAGAAAGGGAGGGAGGGAAGGAGGGGAAGAAAGAAGGTGAAAGGGAGAGAAAGAAAGAAGAAAACTTATAGCTTTTGAGAAAAAAAAATCATCAGTGGACTTCCAGTGGTGAGAAATTTGACAGTGTTCCCACATTCTCAAGAAACACCTCCAAGCTTGTCTGTGGGACAGCACAGAACTAACTGGGAGACACAGGCAGGGCCAGACCTGGGCAGATCTCCCCGCACCCCAAAGATGCTCCTGAAAACACGAGCCTCACCTCGCCTCCCAGTTTATTCCTTTCTTTCTGCTCCTGTGATCAAGAGACCAAAATTTTAATAATTCAGCACTAAAGGCATTTTTTAAATTCTCAAAATTTCAACTATAAGCAAAAGCAGGCTCTGTGTGTGTGTCAGAGAGAAAAAGAGAAGGAAATTGCTCCTGTTCACTGATCTTTTGAAATTCCACTTCTGGGGACGGGAGAATGGCGACAGTCTTTGATGAGACTCTTAATAGCTGTGAGGAGCAGCGAGCTGTCTCCACAGTGCAGCAATCAGCTCTGCTCCCTCCTCTGTAAGCACAGCTATGAAATGCTGTCACTTTCCATCAGTCCTCCACACGCTGCACAAGATGCCAACAGATAAGCAGTCCCTCCCTCCTTGGAAGGGAGGACAATGTTGTATACGGCTGCGTCTAACAGCTTTCTTTACTGTCTTCACCATTCTGGGAGGGTGGCTCCACAAATGGAAATAAAATCCCCGGGCTGGATAAGGCTGGGTTCCAAGACATCCCCGCAGGACCCCATTCTGAAGGGGCAAGAGCAAGGTGCAGCTTCCCTCAGCGCCTCGGACTCACAGAGGTCTTTATTTTAACGGCAGAAGGCACAGTTATGTGTTTTTCCAGCTCTGATCTGCTCTCCCAGTCACACTTGCTATTAACCTACATACTGTCTCTCTCAGAAAGTGACCAGAGTCCTCAGGAGACTACTAAGGTTTACTCTAATATGTACCATTTAGTGAGCACTTGCTGCATACAGGATACTATACTTAAGTATACTTTTTCCATTTAATCTCCATACTTTTTAAAGGTACACATTATAATATTGACCTCATTTTACAGATTGGGAAACTGAGGCTTAAAAAAGACGAATCATTTGCCCAATGTCATATTGCTAGTAAGAACCTTGGGGTCTTTCCCACGAAAATCCATGTCTTTAACCGGTATTCTCAACCTGGAAGAGGGTCAGTATGATTCGTCAGAAGGAGCCAGGGCTTTGCAGTCAGAGCCTTCCCATCAATTAATTGTGTTACCCTTCAGTGGCCACTTAACCTCACCAAGGCTCTGTCACTTTGTCTTCAAAAGGGAATCACAATGTCCACCCTACTCTTCTCCAGAGGTTGAAGACAGGATCGACACCTGTTGCTGAGTTATAATTAAGTTCATTTCTAGTGGACGAACTTCCTTGTCCTTGTTCAAGATTGGGAATGGGGGGGGAGCAGGAGGTAGGGGCAGTGCTGAGGGAATTGTTGCAGACAAAGGGGGGGGCTAACGCTAAATCTAGAAGATATATGGTTTTTCTTTTCACATTTTTTTTATTTGCTCTGTGCAACTCTCTAGGGAAACATGGTTCCTAATGTTTGACAACGAATCCTACCAACATTAAAAGCTCTCTAGACATGAACTTAAACAATCCAAACAGGGAGGCGCATAGTATGTGCTCAATAAATAATGAAAGGACAGCCAGAAGAGAGGCAGGCAGAGAGCAGACAATGCCGGTACTCCCTCTGCTTCTCACTTAGTAATTAGCCTGTAGGTATTTCACTTCCTATGCATGGGGTTAATTGGTTCTTTGAGTCTCCAGCAAATTAATGTGGTCAATTATTTAATTTCACTCTGTCAGCAATGAATAAAGAACTTAGCACCAATGCAGTTACACTCTTAGCCAAACCATAATATTCTATAGGTTGGACAGCTTTCTGATTTTTCTCACCTGAGGCTTCAGGCTAGGATGGGCCTCTTATTTTCTTGAAATTTCAGATTGCCTAGTTGATGCAACACCCATGGAAACCAAACACACAAGTATACACACACACACACACTCCCGCAGAGCTGATACAAATGAGGCTGCCAATAGCAGCTAATAAACTCCCAGTGCACGCGTTTCTTCTTGCAGTCGTCCGTTAACACAGCAGCGATGCAGAGAAAGAGCCCTAACAACATGCTAGTGAGCACTTGGGGAACTCGTGGAAAAGACGCACACAGGGATAGAGAAATGAAAATGAATTGATGATGGTTTGGTTAAACACTATGTTTGAAAGAAGATAAGTAATAACTAGGGATCCCTAACCATACACTGGGGATTTGGGTATATACAGAAAATGAAATATTCATTATCCTACAGGAAACACACTTGGGGCTGAAGTTCTGCAACAGAATCCCAAAATTAACCAATTTTCTCTGCTCTTAAAATCACTAAAAAGCCAAAATGTCCATACGAATCTGCTCCAAACATTTTTTTTTAACAACCAGAATATAGTTAATACTCTCCAACTAGACCACTTGTAACTAAAGCCACCATTACAGAGGTGGCATTTCTGTTAAACCACACGGCATCCTCACCACCCCACCGTCCGTGTTTATGCTGACTTAGAATGCCCATGCACCTTGAACCTCTGTGCCCCTCCTCCAGTTTCCACAGGTCTACAGGACAAGAGCCTGGCTCTAGAGCATGCCTCCTTGCCATTCTGAACACCTGTTCACACTCTTCCTCTCCTGTCCACAGGTCGCCAACACTCCACGAACAAGTGTCAAACACACACAGAAGCTTAACTTCCAGATGACACCAGAGGAATTCACACACAGTCAGAATGGGGCAGAGGAATTGTGTGTGAGAAAGCGTGAGGGGGATTAGCTTCAATCTGAGCTCTCTCTCCTAGCTCTTCTCGCTCAGTCCTACTACAATTGTGCATTTCGCATAGTGCTCAGATGCAAAACATTTCCCTTCCAGGAGTCAGAGGGCTTTTAGTTAAAAGTATGACACTGTCAAGAGATCATTCATTCCCAATTGGGACAGCATTTCAAGAGCAAACGCCAGGCACAAAATCAGAGCCTGTTAATACTAACCAGAAACATTTACATTTGTTATCGGAAACAAAAGTAAACAAACACAAAAGGTTTTCATTAAGCCTACCCAAGAGAAACAGGTGGAGACTGAGGGAATATCATGCCCCATAATAACTAGGATATGGGAAGCTCAAAGGACTCCCTAAAAATACACTGCTTTCTTCTAAGTCCGGGACAGGGTGGGGAAGAGGTAACTACAACTTTCTTTGAGCATGGGATACTGGGAATTACATAAGAAGTTGCATTCCAAATGTTGGACCCAGTAAGAGCAATTGAAATTGATTTGGAATTTGCTTAAACAGTTTTATCTAATGACGATTAATAAATAAGAAGACCTTTCATTAGTTGGCAGAGGATAATTGCTACTGGCCGGTTTGATTTTTCTAAAAACTGAAGCTCACGTGCATTTTTTTTTTTCTAGATATAATCCCTAAAGTCCAAAAGTATTGTTTCTGGAATCAAAAGGTGCCATGGAGCATCATCCTTTTCTTAGTGGGCCTAAAGCCTCCTTTCAAATGTTCCCAAATTGTTTGTTTTGGACCTTTATGTTTTTAACTGAAACCCTGTTGAGAATGAAGAGTTTAGAAACTTCACAGTATATCACAAGTTGTCAATCAAGGAGGAACAGGTAGGGTGACTGAAAAATGAAATTATCCATCCAGGGCATACTGGGTAGCTGACACTTTATAACTAAAATAATCAAGATCCTTCAGCATTACACGAATTTGTATAGAAGATTTAGTCAAGTGAGCTTTAAAAGATGCCTTAAATCTTGTCAGAAAAAAAAATTAAGTCAATTTCATCTATCCCTGACTTAGAAATCTAACCCATCCCTTCCCACAATAGGCAACATCCTGGCTGATTTGCTGGTTCCCCAAACTCTTCAGAAAACGCATAGAACAGTCACCGACAGCACCACCTGCGAGGTCGCACCCAACGCTTGGGACCAGCAAGGCCGAGCACACCTTCCAAGATTCCCCACCTCCTTCTCTACTCTCAGGAGCCCAGCCCAGATCGGCGTTATCTCTGGGGACTGAAAAGCAAACAGACATTTAAAAGAAAAAGAGGGAGAGCAGGCTGGGATTATATAACAGTGTACAGTACCCTAGGCTTCTAGAAAATGAAAGTAGCCAGGGGAGGAGCAGGGGAGGCCAGGGGAGATCCGCGTCGGGGGAGCTGTCGCGGCCACTTACTCGAAGGCGAAGAAGAGTCCGCTAGTGACCAGGATGAGGATGAGAGTCAGGTAGAAGACGCCCGTCTGCCGAGCCATCATGATCCTCCCGTTGCAGAAGAACTTGTTTCGTCCCGGGAACACCTCCCATTTCCTCCGGGCGGCGATTTTCTTCTTCTTGTGGGGAGACTCCATGGGGGAGGAGCTGTGGGTGCTGATCTGACTGTACTCGCAGTCTTTCATGGGCCCGCCGCCGCCGGGAGGCATCCACGAGGGCAGCCGGCTGGGGGTACACACCCCCAGGAGCCCCCCGGCCGCGCGGGCCCCGCCTAGCCACGACCGTCGCCGGCCGCCCGGCCGCCCCCCGAGCCGCGACGCCGCGGCCCCTAAACGGGCTCCCGGCTCGGCGACAACTTTGCCGAGGACACCCAGGTTAACCCTTTGGGGAGACCAACTGTCATAGCAGAAGCCCCTTTCGAGAGGGACGGTGCTCGCCCGCAGCCCGCGGCAGCGGTCCTCCGTCGCTTCCAGCCCGCGTCCCGGGGCGCCGGGGTCAGCCCAAGCGGCCCCCGGGTCGCCGTGCGCCCGCCCCCTCGCACGGCCGCCGGCTCGGCCCCGCCGTCCCCGGGCCCCCGGCCGCGTCTCGGCTCCGGCCCGCCGATCCGCGAGCGCTGTGCCCAAAGGGAACACGAGGCGACGGCCCCGGCGCTGGCTTCCTCGGGAGCCACTTCTGCGCCTCGGCCAGGTTTATTCTACTCCTTCCTCCCGGTGGCGGATCCTCCCAGGAGAGAGCGCTGGAAACTGGGCGGCAGCTCGCGGCACCGGCAACCCCTCCCAGGGGTGGGGACAACCACGCACGTTATTCTGTCAGGAGCGGATCAGCGAGAACCTGGCGCTGTTCGCTCCACGACCCCGCGTCGGCGCGCCTGGCAGCCGAGCCGAGTCTGCGGCCCCCGGGTAGGGCGCCCGGGCCGAGGGTGGTGGCGGCGGCGGCTCGCGAGCTGCGCGGCGAGGGACCCTCGCTTGCTCCTGCCCGGAGGATCCAGCTCTGGCGCGAGGAGGGCCGCAGGGACACTGCCACAGACACTTGTTTGCAAGGCTCAGCCCCCGCGCGCGCGCGGCGCTGGGAGCAAGTCAGCCTCCTCCCTGCCGGGTGGGCGGTGGCGCCCGCGCCTCGACAGCCGGGCTCCTCCTCCCTCTTCACCTCCTCGCGGCTAGACCCCGCACCCGCTCCGCGGGGTCCCAGCCCCAGTACCCCCCGGGAGAGTGCCCTGGTTCGGGGCCCAGGCGGGCCGGGCGCGGCCCTGGAGAAGGCGCCCGTGGCATCGCCCGAGGAGGGGTAGCGTCGGGCGGCCCCGGCGCGCAGTGCGCTCTAGGCAGACTCGGTCCTCCCGACTTCTCCACCCGGTTTATTCAAGGCAGCAGCTACCGCCTCGAGACACGCACATTCACAAGGCAACCGGCAAACCTTTTTCTGAGACTGCCCCAGACTTGAAGAGCCCCGGCGCGGAGAGGTGACTCTCTCTGGCCTGCTCTTCCACCCCAGAGGGCGGTTGGTGGTCGCCAGGGGACTCTACTGACACTCGGGGAATGAGGCTGGGGTTGCTGGGGGACAAGATGGGGAAGGATGGCCCGAGGCAGGCCTGACTCCGGAATCAGGGAGTCAAGGCTGCGGGAAAGGGTCTCCGTGTCCGGCTCGACTGGCTTCCATGCCGGGAGAGGAGGGGGAAGCGGAGCGCTCAGGGTCCCCTCCGCTCCCAGCCTCCCTCGCCTTGGTGGCCAAGCTCTGTTTGGGTTGCTGCCTCCCCAGTCCTTTCGTTTTCCACTTCTCACTGACGCTCACAATCAGCTGGTTTTATTTCTCCCTCCTTTGCCCTGCAGAGCCCCCTCGGCGGCAGAGGGACCATGCGCTTCTCTGCTCCCGCCCGCACTTCCCTCCTTCCCGTCCTGACAGCCCCTGCGGATCCGCGGGCGCAGTCCTCGGGCCATGCGAGCCGGAGGCCCAGCACGCTCACGCCCACCCAGGCTTGCCCAGGGGTCTGCGCCCTCGCAAGGTGGGCACAGCCAGTGGGTCGCGCAAAGCAAAGGCAGCTGGGCTGAGACGCTGGGTTTTCTGAGCCCCACTTTCCTTTCACGGCCCACTGGGACGTGTAGTTCTTCCTCTCGCAGACTGCTCCGAGAGGAAACACGACTTTGGGACCGAAAAACTACAAGTCCCGGCATGCCCTGCGACGAAGGCGAGAGAGGCGCGGTGCTCGGCGTTCTGGGGCTGGTTGGTTCTAGGAAACCGACAAAGGGGGTGTTGTAGGTGCTGGGCACTTTGTACATTACACACGTTCTTTGTCCCATCTTCACAACCCTGCGAGGCACTCTTACACCCATGAAACTTGACTACTGCCCAAATATCCAGAGCTCCCCAGTGGTAGAGATGGCGTTGAACCAGAACCTGAGTATGTTCCTTACAAAGCACGCCCTGGTGAGGATTGTCAAAGGGAGATGAGGTCGGCGTATCCAAGAGGGCCGGTTAAGAAGAGCTTCTTTTAGTAAGAAAAGTGGCGGGAATGGCAATTAGAATGTGACACGTAATGACAAGGAGTTATGAATTAAAACAGAATTTACAGGGGTCCATTTAAAAGCAGGTTAGGGTCTTGGGGGAACGGATCTTAAACGCAAGATCAGAATGGGTTTGAATCATTAGGTATTGTTTGACAGACAAGCTCATTACAGGGACAATTAAGTACTTTGTGGCTGAACTATTTTTAGAAAAACAACTGGTAAGCTTCAGACATTTCAAGAGAAAGCTCTCATACGCTTTTCTGTGCTTTAACTAATAGGATCATGGCATGTTATTCTTTTTCTATTTATTCCAAGCACTTTTTCTGTGGGTGTCCAATTAATACCTTGATCCATTGACTTGATGGCTGTAAAATGACTTCCACTCTTGTTCTCACTTAAGACCGAATTTTTCTGGCATTACGATTATGCTTTTCAAAAGTCCTTATTTGCTGAAGTATCTACCAATAAAATGATATGAAGTCTGAAATGTACTTTAAAACACTCAAGCCCATCCATCTGTAAACCCCCCTCCCAAGACATGGAGGTATAGATGGAACAATTTTGGAAACCGTTGAAAGTTGTTGATGGTGGGTCATGTATCTGTATTTAATTATCTGTTGTTGCAAATTACCACAAACTTGGTGGCTTTAAAACCACAAAGCATTTTCTCATAGGTTCTATGGGCCTCCCACCTGCTCTCACCTGGTGCTGCCACGCTGCAGGTCTCAACTGGAGAAGGCCTCACTTCCACTCTCAGGCATGTTACTAGAATTCATTTCCTTGCAGCTATGAGACTGGAGGCCCTGCCTTCTTGTTGGCCATCAACTGGAACTTGTCCTCAGCGCCAAGATGGTGCCTGCAGTTCCTAGAGGTCACCTGGACTTCACTGTCACCTGTGCTTTCCCAGCATGGCCACTTACTTCATCGAACCAATAAGGAGAGTCCCAGGGTGAGTCTGCTAGCAAAACAGAACCTTATATAACATAGAGTGATCACACAGGGACATCAAAAGCACATACTGTGTTGGCCAGAAAACAAGTGACAGGTTGCACACAGTCAAGGGCAGGAATTGTGCAAGGGTGTGTACACTGAACATTAGGGTGAGGGGCCACCCTACAGTCTGTCCCCCACAGTGTGCAAGAGGGTCCAATATGCTGTGCTTCTCTAACACATCAACTTAGGTTTATGTTGGAAATTTTCCATAATAAAAGGAAGTGAATTATTTATTTTTAAATTTAGTCTAAATTTTCCACAACCAATAAGATACGCTGATTTGATTTCTCAGCAAGCTGGTCTGATTGTTTATAGCTGTCTCCCAGGTTTGTTCTCACTCTGTAGGTATGAAGACCTCTGACGATAGGTTCACTTAGACTGCAGCTCACACCTAAGGGGGCTCAAAGGAACCTGGTGCGACAGCCACAGATTTAACTCATCAACTACAGTTGACCCTTGAGCAACACAGGTTTTAACTGTGTGGGTCCATTTATACAGGGGATTTTTCAACCAAAGACAGGCCAAAAATACAGTATTTCTGCAGATAGTGAGGACCACGGTGACCTTTCACACACAGGTTCCATGGGGCCCGTGGAGGGACTTGAGTATGCGCAGATTTAGGTACAGGGGTGTCCTGAGGGACAACTATAAACCTACTGTAGAAGGTAGGGTAGATTCATTCATTCATCCATGTCACATTTCTTTCTTTTTTTTTTTTTTGAGACAGAGCCTCAAGCTGTCCCCCTGGGTAGAGTGCTATGGCATTACAGCTCACAGCAACCTCCAACTCCTGGGCTCAAGCGAGTCTCCTGCCTCCGCCTCCCAAGTAGCTGGGACCACAGGCGCCCGCCACAACGCCCGGCTATTTTTTGGTTGCAGCCGTCATTGTTGTTTGGCGGGTCGGGCTGGGGATTCGAACCCGCCACCTTAGGTGTACGTGGCTGGCGCCTTAGCCAGTTGAGCTATAGGCACCGAGCCGTCACATTTATTTCTTATGGAGTCTCGGTTATGCTAAGTGCTGTTTTAGCATTAGGGATAGGAAAGGCCCCGAGACAGAAGTCTATATTTGGGGTTTGGGACAGAGGTGGAGGGAACAAACAACCACGTAATGAGGCTGATTTCAGAGAGTGATTATAAGAATGAAAAACAGGCTTGGTACCTGTGGCTCAAGTGGCTAAGGTGCCAGCCACATAGACCTAAGGTGGTGGGTTTGAATCCAGCCCAGGGCCACCAAACAACGATGGCTGCAACCAAAAAAAAATAGCCAAGTGTTGTAGCAGGCGCCTGTGATCCCAGCTACTTAGGAGGTGGAGGCAGGAAACTCGCTTGAGCCCAGGAGTTGGAGGTTGCTGTGAGCTGTGATGCCACGGCACTCTACCTAGGGGGACACAGCTCAAGGCTCTGTCTCAAAAAAAAGAATGAAAAACAAAGCAGCGTCATGGGCTGGGGGTGGGGTGGGGTGAGGAACCTCCATGGAAGAGACTTTGGGTGGAGAAACAGGATGTGAAACAGCAAGTGCACAGGAGGAAAAGCCTAGAACATCTTAGGGGCATAAAGAAAACTAAAATAGTGTGACTGGAATAGAGTGAGGGCCTGTGGGAAAGGTGAGAGGTAAGGGTGAGCGAGGACAGAACCAGGATGCACCTGGCATTGATTCTGCGTGCACGGATGTCACTTGTCCTGTAGTGACCACCGGTTCAAGTGTTACACGTCCAAAAGGAGAGCAGCGCACCAGC